AATTGATTTGTGAGCTCACGAGGAAATACTCAGAATGCTTTAGTTAAATATCATGGTTAAATATGTACACATGTCGAGGTTGTTGTACAGCCATATTTTCAAATATACTGTACTCAAACTAGAGCAACTGTCCAGTCACGCATACGTGATAAAAAGCCGACATAATCTTTATAAACAAAATGCAAATGCAAAACATAACAGAACGATTCGACCATCTCAAATGGTAATATTGGGATAGTAGCGTTGCAGACTGCAGGGGGAGTTGGCAGTGAGGTTCCCTCATGCACCACCCCATGGAAAATCTGCACCCGTCCTTGCAGATGAGGCTAAAGTCGCCCCCGTGGGTGCCGCCCATTTTTAGGGGTGCCATGCCCAAAACGCTTTTCGTGTAAACCGGTTATTTTTCAAACGCACCTTCTTCGATGGGCTCAGCATCATTGGACGAATTGGATGGCGCGTTTTGTTGCATTGTGTCTATACATTCATACAGGTCTTCACCATCTTCTATGTCATCATCGTCATTGTGATTCATCTTGATACTTTTCTGTCTCATGAGTTTAGATTGTTCATCCGAAAGGTCGGTCTGCAAGGCTGCTTTAATATGTTGTATCCAGACATCTACTTCTGATTCCTTGTTAACTTTGAACTAAACAAAATAGAAACGAGGGTTAAGATGTGAAAAGTCTGTAATATCTCTTTTCCATTTTGAACCACTCTCCACCGGCTAATATTTAACAAATATAAAACATTTTCCGTGTTGGTATACAGTTACATCAACACGAATGGAAATTGGGAAAACGAGAAATTGTGTGGATTTATAAACCTCTTTTCAATCTGCGCATGCTCACCAGGGGCTGGTTGTATAGTGATTAAAGCTAACTATAGTTAAGTGGAAACGTCATCCAATAAGAAGCGCCTATTTGAGAGTTAATCACTATCTAACTACACAATAGTGATTAAAAAAGTGATTAAGAGTTTTATCACATACTTGTACCTTTATCAGGTAGGAAGCAGCGGGACATAAAAACGATATCGTCCCAGATATCGTTTTTTGTCCCGGATATCGTTTTTTGTCCCGCTAAATTTCGCGCCTTGTCAAAACAAAGATGGCCGACTCGAGGTTCGTGTTGGTTGATGTCGACAGTTTATCGAAGGAATCAAGAACGATAATACAAATAGAAAGACTTAAATTGTATATTATTTATATAAATGGTCTATTTATTTTCTAAAATCATATTTGTTCAGTAAATAATGAATTTTTTGAATTCTAAAATGATCCTGTTTACTTTTGGGTGTCAAACCCTGATAAAGGTACAAGTATATAATAAATAGGTTATCGTACTCGGGATTCGGTGATATCAGTTTTATCGCTCTCGGGACAATTGTGATATCATCCCTCGAGCGATAAAACTGATATCACCTCATCCCTTATATGATAACTATAGTTTATACAACAGTACGTTTCGGTACGATACGGGCGAAGTGGAAAACCGGCTTTGCTGTATATATACCATTACTCCGAAATGTAAGAAACAACATACCAAGAAACATCTCTCATTATTGACCAACTCAAAACACAACTTTTTGTCTTTTATATCAGGAACACTGCTGCAGCCCTTGCGAATTGTGGTGTCACTAGACGGCAATATTATCTGTCCTTTCTGTTTTCGGTCTTTCTGATTTTCGTAGTAATACAAAGCAAGCGGCGTTAGCACACAGTAACGACGTTGAAATTTTTTTAATATACCTTTCGCTTTGTATTTATCAAGAGAGCCTATACGTTGTAAAAAAGTAAGGAGAATCATTACAGTTAGTACTGTAAATAGATGATTCCAGCTATATGTAGACTAAATTTTGATCTAGGCAAGAAGAACAAAATCCATCACCACAGCTAGAAAGAGCATGTTAAAATTAGTAAAATTGCAGTGAAAAGTTTGGTTGCGAAATGTTGTAAAATGCGGAAAATGTAGCCCTGCGAAATTTGCAAATTTTGTATTAATTTGAATTACGCAAGGGAAAATGCACCACTTTCGGCCCAAATTTACAACATTTCGCTGCCAAACTTTGCAATTTTACTAATTCTAACATGCTCTTTCTAGCTGTGGTGGTGGATTTTGTTCTTCTTGCCTAGATCAAAATTTAGTCTATAGCTGGGAATCATCTATTACAACAACTAGGAATTTAGGCATGCGCAGTCCTCGACATTTTCGAAAGCAAACGGGAATTCTCCGATAAGAGTCGGGTGCATCAATTTTTCATCTCATTATTTACAGATCAGAAAGAAAACTTGTCAAGGACATTTGCCAAGTTAAAATTACTCATCTGCGAGGGGCTAAAATTATCGACGGCAATTTTTGGCCGACGCCGACTTGACACGTTGGCGACTTGACAATAGGGATGTATACACTACTGTACACGCTGCTATGTTGACCAGAATACTATATGTACCTTCATATACTTTGTCTGCTATGTCCGATGCTTTTTTCGGTTCTGTAACATCCTTGGCGTCTAATGTCTCCGAGCTGTTTGACATTTTTGACGCTGTAAAGAAAGAATAGGTTTTCAAGTGGTTCAGACACAGACCACGACAACTTATTGTAGAATACTACCTACAGTGGACTACTACGTTTGAGATATCTTTTTCAGGTAGTTCAGACACAGACCACGACAGTTATTGTAGAATACTACCTACACTGGACTACCACGTTTGAGATATCTTTTTCAGATAGTTCAGACACAAACCACGACAGCTTATTGTAGAATACTACCTACACTGGACTACCACGTTTGAGATATCTTTTTCGGGTAGTTCAGACACAAACCACGACAGCTTATTGTAGAATACTACCTACACTGGACCACAACTCTCACATTTGACATATCAACAAAAAAGGAGTAAAATATCTTCTTTCATTCATTAAACATAATAAGACATACATGATCTTGGCTTTGTGGTGTTTTCAGTACTGACATCATCATACAGTTCTTCTGGGTCTCCTGTCTCTGCTGTGAAACCACAAAATTAACAATCGTCACTTTTATCACTTGATATTCCAAGCACACATAAAAATCTCACATCTGTTCAACAGGATGTGTTCGCTACAGGCTTGTACCAAGCTTGTCAACAAGTTGTAACAACGTTGTCACTTTATCAAGTTGCTATACATTCCCCTTGACGAGTCACAATCGTCTGGTGTTAGACAGAGTAAAATAACAAAGTAGGGCACAAAGTATGGACTAACAAAGTATGAACTAACAAAGTATGGATTAACAAAGTATGGATTAACCAAGTGAAATCGTCTGCGGCATTATAGACAGAGTAAAACTTAAGCTATTAGTGAACTATATCAGCGAACTTATATAGCAACAAGTTATAGTATAGATCAAAGTAAAAATTTGACTTAGGGTCTATACACTTCGTAAGAAAGTCTTTCTGTAAAATTGAAACAGTAAAGTACCTCTTTAATGCAATGTTTTGAAAGAAGCTTAGTAGTAATTAATTGTAATGAAGGGCACAATTGGATGAGTTATACAGTCATAATTCATTAATACACTGATACATATGTACACTACATGCGTACGTCACGTCGTTAACTTTCCTAAGCCCTAACTTTCCATGGGGGTCGTGAGCTAAACCACTGCACCTCCTCTAAACTTTTTTCCACCTCCCCACTATTTCCACCAAAATCCGGCCTTGCTTTCCACTGATGAGTAAAATTTTCTGGCATTAGAGTAAAATAACTGACAAAGTAGGCATGTTATGGTCAAATGCTACTTAATTAAAAGGTTAAAATCTGTACCTGTCTGTGTTATTCCCGCAACATCGTCATAATTTTCTTGATCATCTGAAAATATTTAGGAAATGTTATGCATGGTGGACAATTCGCGTACTTACGTCCTCTATGTTTACAGCCAAGTACCACAGAAGTATACCATAAAAACGTGTTTGAGTAGCTAGGTTGTTGGATTGTATATATGTTTGTACATGCATCGTACTACTTCATGTTCCAACTAATTTAGTCGATGTTATCGAAGAAACACCTTCTGAAGGGCTACTTCGAGTGAGTATTATATTTAACATATGCAGTCGAACCCCTATTAAGCGGACACCTTCAGGACCTCGCCTAAGTGTCCGCCTAAAAGGGGTGTCCGCTTAAAAGGGGTATGTAGAAAAACACAGCAGGAGGCAAAGGTGTGTAATTAGGTGTATAATTTGAGTATCATCATGGCTGGCGGCTCACAGTCCTCCGTCCTCATTCGTCACTTCCTCAATAATCTTGGCTCTGATGTCTTCGCGCCAAGTTGGTGGTGTCACTGTCAATGTGCCATGTAAATTGATCTCAATTGTTATTTACTGTCGAATATTGAATACATTTTATCAGACAATCTGTCATCTGTCCGCTTAAGAGAGGTTGATTTGCCCATTGGGACCTCCAGAAAGGTGTCCGCGTCCGCTAAAGAGGGGTGTCCGCTTAATAGGGGTTATGATAATAGTTTTTTATTAAAGAAACCAAATGGGACCTGAGATATGTGTCCGCTTAAAAGAGGTGTCCGCTTATAGGGGTTCGACTGTATAAACATTTTCCGTGTTGATATACAGTCATATCAACACGAGTGGAAATTGGGAAAACGAGAAATTGTGTGGAAACACGACGCCCGGAGGGCGGAGTGTTTTCACACAATTTGAGTTTTCCCAATTTCCACTTGTATAGCAAATTTTTCCGTTCATTCATAATTTATTTGTCGATGCAAGTTAATTCTACAGATGTCAACTAAATAGCTGATGTGGACCTGTGTTGTGAACAAGCCGTTGACAAAATGTCAACAAGCTGGGAAAAAGCAGGGCGACCACATCCTGTTGACAAGTTGTCAGAACAGCATTGCTACAAGTCCGCTGCACGTTTGTTACAACTTGTGCGTTTTATGTGTGTACAGTAAGGAGGTCTACAAACAGTTGTTACAAATCTGTTCACAACTGTCGACAAGTTGTGTTCGCATGACTGTTTGTTCCTAGTTGTTGTAACAAATTTGGAACAAGCTGTTAACAGCTTGTAACTGCAAGCTTGATGACATTATCAGACTTGTTACAAGGTTGTTCTAACAAGTCTGATACAATCATCATATAACAAGAATGTTACAAACTTGACGACACAAGGTTGTTACAATATTGTTATGCCAAGACTGTATCGGACTTGTTGGAACAACCTTGCGACAAATCTGATAATATCAACAAGGTTGTTACAAGTTGTTAACAGCTTGTTCCATGTATTTGTTGACAACTTGTGACAAGCAGTGCGAACACAACTTGTTGACGGCTTGTTGGCAGACTTGCTACAAGATGTACATGTACCTCCCCTCAAAATCGTCATGACTAAAGACCAGTGTAAAAACTATACTGTTTACAGTCTGTTGATGTCATACCTACTAATGGTCCTCTCGCAACATCATCATACATTTCTTCCACAACTAAAAACATAAACACACACACACTGATTTTCTGAGCAAAACATGCAAGGGAGACAGAGAAGACGGAGTTATTAACCACAAATTAATTATGATCAAGTGACACAGGGTGTTAGCCAGAAGATTAAAAAAATCGGCAATTTAACGAAATTGGAAATTTAAGTCAGCCTGCGACATTCTGACCGGAGTTAAGGAATATCGTGTTTCTTAAGTGACGTTCTCGTGGCCTAGCGCCAGCTGAGCTGAAACTTTTGAAGTCACCTGACATTGTTTTGCGTACCAAAAACAGACAAATATATATTTTAGGCTACATGACATCCTCGCAACACTTAACGGGTACCCCATTTCTCTTGAGCAAAGTTTTGAAATTGAACAATCTTTTATGTACAAAATAGTTACGTTTTTGGCTGATCTAAATTGTCAAATTGCTGGCTAAACGTAATTGTGAAAAGGGCGTATAACGCCCGTTTTCTACTAGGCGAATTTTTTCGCGCGAAGCGAAAAACAAATCTTAAAAAAAAACACAAAAAAAACAACAACAAAAAAACACAACTTTTTTACTGTTCGCGCGAACAAATTCGCCTAGTGGAGAACGGGCTTTACGCCACATTTTTTACTGAAGCAAACACCCGGTGAAGATAATAATAATGATCAAAGTGAAGATGGCAATTGACTTAGTTACTGAATGAGAAACTTCACCCGCACAGGTGGTTGGAATAGACAGCCTAGAAAACGTCGTACAAGCAGAAGGAAGAATAGAATGGGGACTGTGGATGACAGTGGCGTGCTGGCTCCACCACTTCAAAATGGAGACCACTTCAAAATTTGGCACCCATCGTTATAGATTTTCTTTAAACATCCTTTCCATAAACATCCGTTAAAACAATTTAATACTCTCTGTTCTTTCCTTTACTCATTTCGCAAGTTTTTCATTAGTATTGACAATTTTGGTTTGATGGCATGCATTTTTGGCGCCGCCTAAAATCTTGTGCGCCCCAAAAAATCCCTCGCACGGGAGGTGGCGGCAATGGCCGGTACGTCATTGGTAGATGGAAGAGAATGACCAACACAAAAAGACATGTGATACTCCAACTTGGAATCCAGGTATCCCAGTTGGAAACTGACAATTTTTACAATTTCAGATCTTGCAAATGTAAAAATTACATACCTGCATCACCTTTAACAACATCATCATATGTTTCCTCGCCTAGATCTAAAAAGTTAACAATTATAAGATATAAAGGAATTAGCTGCCTTCGTGAGAAAGGCTAATTCTTGTAACCTAAATCCTGGGGTGTGTGGGGGGAGGGGTGGTGGTTTAAAATTTAAGGAAACATATCTACGTACAAAGTGTCTAAAAAAAACCCTCTTCGGCACGAATCCAACTTCAGCACGCTATTGTACGCAAATTACGTGGTAAACGCGGTTAATATTTTCGGATAAGAAAGATCAGGCTTTTAGCCGTTGAATATGACACACTTTTCATACCAAATGGATAAAAAATAGGTACGCGCTGCGTACATGTGGGTAGCCTGCATTAATTGTTGTTAAAGCTGGAGTAATACGCGCAACAAAATTGCTGCAACAAAATTTCTGCAACAAAATCTGATTTCAACGCATTTTAAAGTAGAAATGCTGACAAAACATTTCAATTGCAATTTTGTTGCCCATATTAGTATATTACTCCACATTAATTGCTATTGTCAAATTCCGAATTTACTGAATGAAAGTATTAAGTAAATTGAACACAGTTCAAATATTACACACACATTTAATCACATACTGAACATCAGATATGATAAAAATACGTAAACGACTGTTACGTGCATTTTTCAATAAGCATGAACAGATATAAGAAGTTGCATAGTATTTTAATGTGTCAAAAATAATTTGCACACTGAACAGACAGAACAGTACAAGATGTATACGAAACAAAATACTTCACACGCCGAAATACAGACAGTACGAAAAACACTTAAGACAAGAACAGTTCTTGTTCAAGGACAGCATGCATCAAAGACAAAGGATCAAGTTTACAGGCTGCGTATATACAATTTTCGTGAAGTTTGAGTTTCAAGGATAGTCCATGCAAAGATCTAAGGACGATGTTTTCCGGCGGAATTGAAAAAGATCAACATATTCTTTATTTAGTGATGATTGAATTAATTAAACAACGACATAATCGATTCCATAATCATATATATTGGTAACGACATTCAACTTGCTTTCAATATTCGACAAATATATCCCAAAGACTTCGTGCGCTAATATTCCACTGCCTAATCCTTGTGTAAACCGTGCTTGGCTTTCTATTTGCCTTAATTTACACATTCGACTAACCCGATTCGAATGACACTGGCCTTACAAACATTATGTAAGCAACGACATACTCGATTCTATATACCATTATATGTTCGTCAACATTCCTTCGATATAGACTAACGTAAATATGTCCAATCGTCGCGCGCTATATCATTAATTACTATATTTTTATAATACGTATAAAATGTTTGATCATGAAACCACGGTATCAAACTGATATGTCGTGTTTAAATATGACATTACACGATATAAAACAGACCCCGTGCGCTAATATTAACCCCAATGACCCTTGTACAAGCTGTGATTATAAAAACAACGACATATTCAATTCTATATGCGTTGGAAATGACTATCGACCTGACAAAACATATTACAATAAAGACTTTACTAAGAATTTATACACATCGCTGTACAGTATGAGCGTTAGTGAACTTAGCCTATGGTCTATAGACGGTTCGTATTTCAAGGATAAAAGGAACCGCGCAGCAGGACACCGCGGACACGAAGGCTACAGAGCCACAGAGCCACGGAAGATCGCGCTTCAGTCTCTCACATAGTGGTTAGCTGCGCATGCGCGGCTACCCACAAAAATGAGTGAATACGAATTCGATGAAAAATATTGATCAAAATTTTTTTCACCTCTGAGAATTGAATGTAAACACGTCTCTTGGGAATTAGGTTAGTGAATCACACCTATACATAACTCTACATATGCAGTTGCATTATGCACATGATTAATCATGGCAAAGATGGTTCAACTCACAACAGAACAACGAATATTTGTTGTTAAAACGTTTCATATGAAACTGGAAGTTTGCAGAGAACGCGGGCGGAGAGTTTCACGCAACGTTTTCCTGAGCGGCAACCGCCTGCACTAAAAATAATTTAGTCAAATGTAAGAAAGTTTTCTCAACATGGCACAACTTTAAACCGAAACATGGAAAATTCTGGCAGAAGGCGATAATCAGAAGAGCTGTCCAAGCAATGTTACGGCGATGTGCATCGAGAGAGACGGTGGTCTCATCGAAGGCGTGGGAGCATGATCTTTAAAAATTTTTGCAGGACAAAGAAAAATAGGGTCAAAAATATTTTTTTTGGACTAACATTATTTCAATTAAGGTTTAAAACACATTTTCCCCGAAAAAACTTCTTAAAACACGATTAAAACACTTATTTTCGAAATTTCGGGGACACCCTTACACTGTACCTCCGATAGGCCCTGTAATTTTCCCTATTGAAAAGTCTCTGCACGAATTTTTTTTTTCAGACATTTCTGGTGCACGAATTTTTTTTCTTTCTATTTTCCCTGCTCGAATTTGTTCCCCCCATCACTTTTCTAATAGTCCGCCCCTAAAAAGACTTCGGAATGTTGAGTGGGATAAAAATTTCGCTTTTTACCCCACTTGTGACGTGTGCATATCGAATGTATATCCAAGATGGCGGAATGCACGCTGCTTTTGATCAAATAAGTCGATTTATTTCGAAAACCAAGCAACGGATACGGAACAATTGTAAAGGAAGTTTATATGTCATTTTAAATGTTCTTTCAAATGAAACAAATTTAATATATACTACCGTATCCTTAAATGTAAATAATATCAACAAAGGCAGTTTTGACACATTCGTGATTAATTGCTTCTTCTTTTGTTTTGCAATGCATTGATCAGATGCAGAGGTTAAAAAATGCAATTTTGACCAAGATTTTTCATCCAACTCGTATTTGCTCATTTCTTCTTCAAGTGTGTCATTCAACAACTACATTTTTTTTAATTTTCCAATATCACCCTCTCTCCATAAATAGTGAATGGTCCCTCATAGTTTATAGGTCTTATTAACAATAAGTTAATTTGAGTCTACCTTCGTCATGTGCTTGTATTGCCGATGCCACATCGCCATATTCCCCCTCATCAACCTGCGAATTAACAGTGTTGTGGTGTAAATAGCACGCGAAAAATTGGGCTTAGAATGGAACGATATTGGAGGGTGCGATATTTTGCGTACTTACAGTACCTACTGGAGGTACTGTTCAGTTTTTTATCTGGTACGTCTTTGTTTTCAGCCAGCACGTAAGTAAGCGTACTTATTTTTTGCTGATAACACATGAACTTTTCAAGCCCAATGTGTTCAATACCTTAATTTAGCTGGTATATCTGTTCATCTGACATGTCTTGGCATGAAACATGATTGGACGGATAGGATTAAGGAATGTTGGAGTCGACTGTTCGTATATGCTGGCAATGTGCTTCTTGTTCTGACTCGTAGTTTGAATATAATTTTCAGAAATCTATGCTTGCCTTTATGTACTTTATTTCAAAGACTAAGTATACAATGAGCAAATGAGTTTGTACTAGCGTAAGTACCAGAGGTGTGCATCGGATCGGATTGGACGTTTATAATCCGACAATTGCCTAATGTTTAAAATCCGATCCGAAATTGTCCAATCCGAAACCGATCCGAGTTTTGATAATGAATTCCAATCCGATCCGATCCGAAAAATTCTTTAATAAA